ATACCTTGACAATAATAATGCCTAAAGCCTCGTTTTATCTCGTACCATCATATCCATCATTACACACCTTTATCACCTCTTATATAACTCTGCATTATCTTTATCCTCTCTTGTTCCCCTTCAGCTCGAGAAGTCAAAGGACAACGTGAACTACAAACAAAAGCGAGAAATGGAGAACCTACGGAAGGAGAAGGAGGACCTCGAGATCCGCATGAACACCTTGGAGAGTGAGCTCAAGGTAAGGACGAGGGAGCGTTTGTTGTTCTTATCACCATGGATAATAGTGATAATAACTATAAATAATAATGGTGCTTATAGTAATAATGATAATAATAATATCAATAATGCGGATGATACTGATGATGATAATGGTATTATTATATTTAAATATCAATGTCGTTTTCATTGATATTTGTTTTTTATCTATTATCATTATAATTGTTGTAATTATTATTATTACCGTTACTTTTATTATTATCATCAAAATTATTATCCTCAGTAGTGGTAATATTAGTGATACTGATAACATTATGCTTTTTTTCTTACTGCACAAATAAAATGAAATATTTAAATGAACAGTACAACCCGCTGGTTCCTTTTCAGCCTGTTCATGTTGGAAAACCACGTATGATATATAGAATTAGTTTGTTATGAATAGATATAGTGACATTGCAAATGATGATATAAGCATTGAATCAACAACAGCAGAGGCAACAATAAAACCATAATGAACACCACTACCAACAATTCAACAACAGCAACATAATGAAAATAATAACAAACAACAACAGTGATTACACCCCCCACACACAACCACGACCACCCCAACCACAACCACAACCACACCCACCCATAAAACAACAACTACAATGAAGGCCAACCCTTAACCAAACTTCCCTCTTCCTTCGCGCAGTCGGAGCAGAAGCGGCGCGAGAGGCTGGAGAAGGACTCGGAGAGGGGCAGCTCAGTTGTTGGCTATGCTGCAAGAAAGTCCGAGACCGAAGCTAAGAAACTGAAGACCGAGCTGGAGAACGTGAAGAAGGAGTATGACGAGAAGATCAAAGGCAAGTTCTCTAAATGTTCTCTCGTGCCGTTGTTCTACTGTTCTTGTTCTCTGTTCTTCTGTTTGTTCCAGTCAAGATTTTTTTTGGTGTGGGGGGGGGGAGGGTCGATATAAGGGGAAATGAGACTGAAAGAGACAGGCATAAAGTGATATCAATTTGATATCTTTTTATACTCCTTGATTGATTCTTATTACTGCTTTATGTTTTATGGGAATTTTTTTTTCTATTTCTATTTTTTTTCTTAGCTCGCAACTTGCTTTCTTCCAAAGACCCGAGATTTATCTACGAAGAATGTGAAGGATATTTTCTTTTTTTCATATTTTGATTCATGGACTGACCGGTGCTTCTTATCCCTCAGAACTGGAAACACAGATGAAGAAGGAAAAAACGGGTCGTGAAGAACTCCAGAGCAAATACGACCTCTTGGAGGAAGACTACGTCGTGCAGAAGGCTCAGGTGAGGAACCGCGTTTGATGAAGTGAATATTTATAATACGATGTGTGAATTACAGCATATAGATAGTTAAAGAGGAGGTAATACTGATGTCATTTGTTGTATTTGCGTTACTGACTCTATATTACTTCATGCTGCAAATCTCTAAGTGTTCCTTAGTGTATATTCGAGCAAAGCTTAAGGAAAAATCGGAAGAGAGTAACAAAACCGGAATTTATTATTTTTTTTTTTACCAAACTTTAAGCCATCGCTCAATGTACCCACACGCCACGGGTGGTTTCGTGGAAGGTACACTTTTTCCCATCGCCTGGCGAAGGAAATGTTCCACCGACCTCTTCCCTTCTTTTATTCCTTCGCAGATGACGGTCGGCATTGAGGATGACTACCAAGCCCTCAAGAAGGACCATGACACGATAGAGATCGAACTGAAGACGTTGCGGGAAACCTACAACATAAGACAAGACACTTGGATCAAGGAGAAGCTCGACATGCAGGTGAGAATAATAAGGAAAGTTCTGATAATTTGAAAAAAAAAAGAAAGAAAACACGAGAAAAAATCAGTGGGGATCGTGAGAAATCAAGATGATCCGTCTTGTCTGTTGATATGATTGAAGGTATTATATTTCATTTCCGTGCTGATTTAATGATTTATATACCTGTGCGTCCTTTGGCCTAACAGTCATATCATTTATGCATTATATTTTATGCAAGAATACATTTCTGTGAAAAATCGTATATGAAACTAAATATATTTTAGATCTTTATTGTTGCTATGAATATTATTCTGTAAAGTATTATCATTATGCTATTTTGTTCCCACGTTTGAGATCTATAAATATGTAATGTATTATATGCAATATATCTGTAACTTGTGCTTGAATATCACCGCCTCTCACTACACAGAAAATTTTGTAATTGGAAGCTTGTTAAGGCAGTATATAAGTAGATAGGTAAAATAAGAACAAATAAAAACAGAGCAAGAG